AGGGACCTTACCCGACCTGGTCGGTACAAACGGGGCTGTTTCTATCATCTGTTTGGCAACCTCCAGGTGTTTCTCCTTCGTGATCCTCAGCAGAGACCCACGGGCAAGGCTGGAGCGCCAGCAGAAGCTTGACTTGAGTTCCAACATGCCACATCTTTCAGTTGAAGGGATATTTTTTTCAAAGATTCCTTGAAATTTTCTCGAAGAATCCCAAACATCTGAAGCTCCAGAGATCAGGCTTACGTCCTCTTTAAGAGTCACTCGGAGGCCCGAAAGGCACTGGAGGCAAGGCTGCCGTTCTGCGGATTCCATGTTTGTTTTTTTATACTGTATTGCCAAGCACGGCGGAGGAAGATAGCGTAAATCTAAAAGTAGCACATTCAACCGCTTGGATAATTGGATTTTCATCAGCTGGTTGCTTCAGTTTCCAAAAGATGAGCTGTATGTCATACAGTATTGGGGATTATTGGGCTAGACTCGCTCTGCCAGGCTATTCAAAGCTCAAGTGCTGATGGGGCCTCCAAGGACTGTCGATTTGTTCATTGGGGTGCAATGCTAGTCGGACCACATTCGAAATTTGTCGTGCAATCGATGCAAAGTCATACGCCTCTATGAGAAGTGTTGGTGACTGTTCATGACCACTGGTATCACTGGTGTTCATGTGGGAATACCGTGAATTTTGCTCAGTACTTCGCAGGCATTCTGGTCAGAGTCTGAGCGGGCACTGCGAGGCCCCGCACACTTGGCTATAGGCTATAGAGGACAGCTACTTCCCTATTCAGTCCTTATTTACATGGCCCCTATTCAAGCCCCATGCATCGTATTGCATGTCCCACTCGTCTACCATTGTTTACCCAAAAGGTGGTTACCAGATGTTACCAGTATGACTCACCAGCCTAGTAGTTTCAGATGGCAGAACGCACCTGCGCCACTGTGTAGCGTAGTCATCACACCCAAAGACAGCTGCAGCAAGTACAGTACCAGTACCAAGATAACGTCTTGCCTCGAAACAAATTAACCAAATTCCCACCTAGAGGGACTTGACGTGCCTGCTGCGTGCCATTCAAGAATCATTGCGGCAAAAACTGGCATCAAGATCAAAGATTTAAATATAGTTAATTGTTTTTTGACTGCAAAAGCAAGCCTGGCTCATGAAATTGCTCTCCGCCAAACAGCGATGCCCACTTCACTGCCTGGTTTCTGGCCTTGGCAACAGCTTCTGCACTGCCACCTGCCCACCGGAAGTGTTCCTGTTTGCGAGCTTCTCACGAGAAAGCAAAATGCAAGAAAAACGCAACGCGCTAAGTGGCTCAAGATCAAAGGATAGCACGGGAACCCAAAAAGAAGCACTGCATGCAGGTAGTATCACGCACCTCGCTCATTTCCGCAGCTTTTTCGTACTGGGGATTGATTTGACGCTTTTAGATTTCTTTCCTCGGAATTGCTTGAGGTATGGTCTTCTTATTACATGTTCTTACTTAATCTCACTTTAGTGAATAGGATGAATTGGCTGCACTTGCAGGGTTCATGTCTATTTTCCATGTATATCAATAATATATATATATGTATACATATATATATGTAATATATACATATATATATGTATATATATACATATATATACATATATATATATATACTTACATATATGTATACATATATATATATATATACGCCCAGGACGCTTGGTTCGCCGTCGGCTGGAAAGCAACTTTTCTCAGGTCAGCCAAGGTACTTTAGTCTCATTGAAACATTCAGCAGGGGCGATTCGCACTGTTCCTGTTGAACAAGCCTGCCGATACTTCTTCATCGCAGTCAGCACTGTTGTCAGCCCTGCCTGGCGGTGAAGTGCCGCTGCTGCCAAGACCTGTACATTGGCGGCTTTGGTTCTCTTTCTTTGGCGACCTAAGGCATTTTGCCTTCTCATGGTGTTTTCCACCCTGCAAACATAACGATAACGTAGCATTTCCACCCTGAAAACATAACGATAACGTAGCATTTCCACCCTGACAACATATCGATAACGTAGCATTTCCACCCTGCAAACATAACGATAACGTAGCATTTCCACCCTGACAACATATCGATAACGTAGCATTTCCACCCTGAAAACATAACGATAACGTAGCATTTCCACCCTGACAACATATCGATAACGTAGCATTTCCACCCTGCAAACATAACGATAACGTAGCATTTCCACCCTGACAACATATCGATAACGTAGCATTTCCACCCTGAAAACATATCGATAACGTAGCATTTCCACCCTGAAAACATATCGATAACGTAGCATTTCCACCCTGAAAACATATCGATAACGTAGCATTTCCACCCTGAAAACATATCGATAACGTGGCATTTCCACCCTGAAAACATATCGATAACGTGATATTTCCACCCTGAAAACATATCGATAACGTAGCATTTCCACCCTGAAAACATACCGATAACGTAGCATTTCCACCCTGAAAAAATATCGATAACGTAGCATTTCCACCCTGAAAACATAACGATAACGTAGCATTTCCACCCTGAAAACATATCGATAACGTGGCATTTCCACCCTGAAAACCTACCGATAACGTAGCATTTCCACCCTGAAAACATACCGATACTGTCATATTTGCAGCCAAAAAAAAAGCGCGCGACAAGACGTTATCACACCCCCCCCC